GGTCACTGCAGGATACAAATATCAGCAGCCATTGAGGCTAATCTGATGAAGCGAGAGAAATAGACGTATATTTCAAGAGTACGATAAAACAGTTGCTCTTCTCGACTGCATCTTTGAGACAGGTTATTTAAAATGGAAGGTCGTTCGTTTCACTCTTGTATATATATTGCAGTGTTGCTCTTGCAACAAATTCATATTTGACAGCTTAAACGTCCAACATATTAAGTTACAGCTATGTAGGCAAATGTGTTTATAATTTATGATTTTTTGTTTTAATTGAGGGACATGATGTGACAAAATCATGAATATTTGCAATGCACAGTCACGAACGATCGTGTATTTATAGCCTTTGTAACACATGGAGCTCATTGTAAATGCTAGTGCACTCACTTCCTCTAGGAATACTGCTCCCTGAATAATGATCTTCAGTCTGTTGCATGTGATCCAGCTGTATTTCCCATGACTTAAGCCAGAAACCCCAGCAGCAAATATTTCAATATTAAAGGGGCCATGCCATGAGAAATCAAATTTGCCTTTATTTTTTGACATGCAAGAGGTCTTTGTACCATAGCTTAAGATGTCCTCTTCATTATGAGCAAAGAACTTATTTAGGGCCAATCCCAATTGTACCCCTTACCCCTTCACTTTTCCCTTGACCCTTGAAACAGAGTGGCAATGCGTAGGGTGAAAATATTCCCCTAAGAAATGGGACACCACTACGCCTCCGTTAAACGTCATTATAAGTCGTCGCTAGCGCCTATGTCACAGGAGATGCGCTGATGTTTATCACAACTTCCAAGATGCCGTCGACAGCTGCAGTTATCTTAGTCACGTGGGTTACAGCTATTTTCTTGCATTTATTTTGTGAAGTTCGCAGGAAACAACGGAGACAACGAAAATATGTTGCGGGACTATCGTTAGCAAACTACAGTAATTTTAGCGATTTTTTTTTTTTTTTTTTTTTTTTTTTTTTTTTTTTTTTTTTTACAAACGTTTCTGTGAAGAAACTGACCGTAAATATGAACACAATATTGAATGTAACAAAGCAAATCATTATTTGTCATTACAATACTTATTAAAGCCACAAATACTTACATTTATGGGTCTCCTTTTTCGCTTGGGCAGCCATTTTGCGTCTGTAGCCTGGGTTAGCAGTGACACTTCTCATACCCCTTCGTTTGAAGTGTGCTCCCGAAAAATCATCGTTTGAAGGGCTATTCGAAGAGAGGATCCAGCGAGAGCTTGATAGGGCAACGAGGAACTAAAGGCGTCGCTATGACGACCGGGTACTATTTGTGGCGGTACTGTAGTGTCTGCAATGGAAAACGGAGCGAAAAGCGAGGCGAGTTGAGGCGAACAGAGGCGAGCTGGTACTGGTAATGGAAAAGCGCCATATATGTTAGTTCAGAGCATTTTGTTTTGTAAGCGAGGCAAGATGAAAAAGCCAACTGTATTGGATCTGACAGTGGCTGCATCACAAAAGTAAAATGATTTTATAATAAATTTTGTAAACTGTAAATGACAGTTTTATATATGGAATTGAGTACATGTAGCCCACTTACTATAGGGTTAGGGTAGGATTAGGATTTGGTTTAGGGTTAGTTGCATGTAATTATGCCTAATTTATAGTTATTACTATTGTAAATTCATGTAACGTGTAACAAGAACACATTAAATGCAATAGCTAGTGGACGTTGATGATGTTTCCCATCCAGTGACGTTAGCCAATCATAACAGCGGCCGTTTAAAGCCCTAAAGGAGCCGGCCCTTAAAAATGGATAATTTTCCTTGCTCTATATAAATAAATAAAATAAATGTGTTATGTTAACATAATTCTATGTGGTCCACATGGCAAAATACAAAGTGAACAAATGTTCAAACAGACATAGAAAAGTCAACACTTGGTCTCCATGTGCAAATGGGATGATAGAGATTATTCTTGGATATAGGTAAAGCAAAACTATATGCTATAGTGTGTAGTTCAGGAATTAACTCATGCTGGTTTGAAAAGATAAGTAAGTAAATCCAGCAGAACTCAATTGCAATTGCAAAATAGCTTTTGTGAGTCAGTCATCTTTTGAATCCTTGAAAAGTCAGCATGTCATGTCTCAAGGGACTTGCTTACTTGAACCGTGCAACAGCATCTTTTCAAATACAGAAGTCTACAAATACAACCATAATCATGCAAGGGGAATTTTAATTCTCATAATTGTTGTATGAATGAAGTCACATTTCACACAAACATTATATAGCATAAAGAATTAAGTGTATTTTAAGATTTTTTCTTTGCATTGTGACTAATGACGCATACATTTCCCCCCACAAATTACCACAATGTCCAGACATTTTACGTTTGAGTTCTTGTGTATTTCCTAATATTAGATTCTCATATACTGTATAACAGTCAAATAAAACAATACAAATATATGAATTAAAACATGCAGAATAAAATGTTAGTGTTTAAATAATATATTTAAAAGTATTATATTAGACATTGATAAATATCACAGTGGAAAACATCTAAAATAGACATTGTCTTATTTATGCTATACATATTCAATTGCTTTCTCATGGATCACTGAATTTTTTTCATCATATTCTTTATAGATGTGGATTGTGATAAGTCATGTCTACAAATGTAAAGTTATCAACTGGGTGAAACTATTCTGAAACACATCGCTCTTCTATTTTATGTTCTCTCTATAAAAAAATCATGAGCGGAACCTTGGACCATTTTTATAAGGTGTATCTTTATATAAATGATTCAGCGTATACAGCTAACACATAAAGAGCTTTCGAGTGGCTCAGAGTCTGAAAAGTAAAAATATACGCTCTCTTAAGCAGCTAACTGTCATTTAAATATCACACACTCATCTGATATGGGCACGGCCATGATGGTTATGTATCTACAGCTATAAAGATTTTATGCCATCCATTATGCATAAAGAGTTAATTTATTCATGAGGGCAAAATGTGATTGTCCTTTGCCTTTTGGATTCCTTTTCATAGCTGTCAGTGCACCCTGTGAATAGACCACTGTTTTGTGCTTGGAATATAAATAGACTGTGTGTGTGCGTTGATGTGTGCAAGTCTGTGTCCCCATATATTCGATACTACGTGCCATAAATCAGTTTAACCTCCAAATTTGGCTAACAAAAACACTTATGTAAAGTGACAAGTATATTTGTTCCAATTAATTACATTAAAGGTCTAAACTATGACACCATTTGCTTCAAGATAAGTAATTGTCAATGCGCAACTCTTCGGTCACAACAGGCACCAAAAATAGCAAATGGATATATATAAGACCTCATAAATCTCAGCATGAGCTCTGCGTATTCATTCATGGTCATTTATACAAACAATGGAGTTGGCATTTGTTCCCATGCACTCTGCAATAAGTGCAAGCTCAGGGTGTACAAAAGTCCTCTATTTTTGACTCTTTTGTGCTTATTCTAAGTGAAATCTTCTCAGTGACCCATATACTGCGCCATATAATGAGGACATACTGCGGTCTACTGTAGTTAAAAGGTCAAGAAGCATCAAGTAGCATTCTTTCGTAAACACAGGAATTATTTCCATCATTAATTTTTCAAAGAGATATAATGCAGGCGTAGCGTAAGCTTAGGTGAGAATTGACAAAAAACAAAACACTGCTCACGATTTAGAAGTCTAAAACAAAAGGTTTTAAAGAAAGATGTTAGAGGATCTGCCGGATGTTGCCGGAAGCCAGTGATTATAGTTTGTAAAATGTTAAATATGGATATTTTTCTTACAAAAAACAAACGCTTCGCTGCTGAAGTCATTTATTAACCCATCACTGTAAAACCTGATGAGTTAGTTCAACTCGAACCGTTTGAGGAAACCGATTGCCTTAAATCATTTAAGTTTATTAACTCAAACAATTTAAGCATAAGAAAATATTTGATTAGTTTCCAAGTAACTCAATAACTTATTGTTAAGATAAATTGGGTAAATAAAGTTAATAGTACTAATTAGTTACTATAACTTAAATCTATGAAGTACACTGTAAACCCAAATAAGTTGGCAGAACTCAAATCACTTTTAATAGTATAAACTTAGTTAGCTTTAAAAGCTAATCTGCTGATATAGTAAATGCTAACATATTAGAAACAGTATGTTATAAGCACTTACTAGCACAGAAGCACTTGCTGTATGAGCATAATAAGGGATAATTTGCTCTCAAATCAAGCTGAATTCACCACTCGTCACCATGATGGTAACTATCCGAAAGCCAACATTAACAGAAATTCTTCTAAATTAGCATAACAAAACATTAATCACTACTAAATCTCACACTTAACATTAATTTTTCACAAAAAAACAACAACATTATATTGCACTTAATTTTAGCATTTACACTATTTTGAGTGCCATCGGCAAAGCATGCTGGGAAATAGATATCCCAGTCGTTTCAGTTAAACTTAAGTTCGTCTAAATTAAAATGAATGATTTCATAAAACTCAAAACAATGAAACAGTTCAGTTTACTTAAAATATGTCAGTTCTGTGAACTTGAAAGAAAAAGAAAGTGCTAAATACTCATAAAAATTAATTTGACTGAACTAATTAGTTGAATTTAAGTTTGTCCTACTCAAACCAATTAATTATTTTGACTGTTAGGGTTTACAGTGATATTGGAGTGGTATGGATTACTTTTAAGATGGAAGGATGTATGTGTTTTTTGGAGCTTATAAAAAAATCAGGCACTTTTACAAAGCTGGGAAGAGCCAAGATTTTATTTAATATATCTACGATTGTGTTCGACTGAAAGAAGAAAGTCAAATACACCTAGGATGGCTTGAGGAATGGTATTTCAATTTTGGAATGATTTTCATTTTTGGTGAAATATTCCTTTAATTTGTTTACTTAAAAAAAACTGGTTGTATAAATAGGGTCAAATTTGATTTCACATCATCTTTGAATTGTATTTTTAGAACCAAATGAAGCACATCAACAAGTACTGAGACATGTACTCACAGGTGGTTGGTTTGTTGCAATTGTGTCCATGTCGAAAGTACTGCGGGTTCTCGATGACAGGAATGCGACTCATGCCGATTACGACTGCGTCAGGTCCCGCATCTAGAGAGCAAGGTGTGACGATACCATGGTTGACATGATGAAGAGGGCTTGCAGAGTCTTCCTCTCCGCTGATGACTGCCACTGGACCTATAGAATCGAAGCAAAGAATAATGATAAATGTACAAGCATGAGGGGAAGATATTCTAACTCAACATGGCTTTGATCCAAATCAGTCTTTGTAAAGAACCAAAAGAGACATTATACTCTAAACATCAGCTAAACAGAATGACTAAACAACCATCAGCTCATTTCACAACATAAAACCTGTGGAGTGACTTTATAAGACTACACAGACATCTAAACACTTTCATCAAGTTTAAATTTATTTATTGTGAAATAGACAGTGGTTTGAAATCGTCTGAAATTTGCCACCTGGGGGAGAAAACCATTGAGCTGAATTGAAGAATAAGGAAACTGCCTGCCAGTAAACATAAAATTTTCAAGAAGCCCACCTCAAAACATGACTTCTTAAAACGGTTGTTTGTTCACAGGCACACTCAGGGGAGCAGTTTGAACATGGGCAACCAAGCAAATCATCAATACAGAGTGACTAAAGTACTTCACATTGGTCTCAAATATATAAAAACCTTCAAACACAGAGTAGATTAACCCACCCAATAAGCATTATTTCATTGAATTAATTTCAAGCTAGGCACTTGTCAGTTAATGCATAATGTGAAATTATTATATTATCCTAATGTGAAATGAATCCTATATGTCGGAATACGTGGAATACTGAAAATCTAATGAAAATCTCAATAGCAAAAATGGGAAGGAGATTAGCTGTTTATTAGTACTTATAAAGCTTTCTTCCCTCATTACCATACATGCCGTAATCCTACTCAACACTCAATACCCAAACTTAACAACTACATGACTAACTATTAATGGAATTAGGTGGTTATTGGGGCAAAAGTCATTGTTTGTTAATAGTGAGAATTGGACCCTTATCTAAAGTGCCTTGCTGACAACAGGTGCTAAAACCCAGAAACAATTTACGGTTCAATCATGCCAAGGTTAAAACGTTGTTTTTTTTTTGTTTTGTTTTTTTAATTTCTCAGTTTTGTAAATGGTTTTTAGTTGAATGCCTGAAGTAAGGTCTGAAATGAATAAATAAATGGGTCTACAGAGGGTGCCGGGGATGTTAAACGTCATCACGCTAATAGTCAAACTATTCTAGAAATAGAGACAGGAAGAGTTACCAGATGCTTAGTGTTTTTCACACTGACTAATTGATCCTTCGCGTGGAGCTTGATTGACAGGTAATCTGACCAACCATACTTCGCCATAGATAGAAGATTAACATTTTCTGTGTCCAAAATCACCAACTACTCACTATAGTGGACTATATATTGAGCTCACCATTTTGGAGTGCTGTCCGAATGTATAGTGATGATTACTATAACCTAAATAGTCCACTCAATGTATCCCAGAATGCATTTTGAAAAGTAATGTACAACCGATGGTCACTAATCCAAGCCCTACATACCATCATGCATTGCGCTGATCATAAAAATAAATTAAAATCATATGTGGAGTAGCGCATTATAACAGAAACGGCCAGAAATGACTTTTAGTTTTAAAGGGTAACTAAACCCCTGATCAGAGCCTGACTCCACCCACTGGCAATATTTGAAAATGCTGAAAAAGTGGGCTGACCCCAGCGGAGATAGAGGGGACGAAATAGATGCTAAAACACTCTATCCTGATCGTTTTCAATACTCGCAATTCCAATTCCTGACTCCCTAAAGTGGTTTTGACGACACAAGATAGTTTTTATACTGCCAAGGGCATAGCTCGCATGGTGAGCTGAAACCTGCATACGTCACGAAGTGCGGAACATCCAATAGGAATATTCAACTGCAGTAGCCACCATTCAACCTGAAGAGGGCAGCACTAAGACGTTTTTACACCATATATTGTAGAAATAGAACACTTTATAAACAAATGTCAAAAAAGTTACTCGAATGAATGACTGGTATTAATAAAGATCCATTCTTACAGATCATTAACTAAAAAAAGTTGGCTAAGTGTTTAGTTACTCTTTAAAATGTTGGAGAAATAAGCTCAATATAATGTAATGTATTTATTTAAAAAAATCTATTTAGCCCAGAGCCGGCTCGTCACCAGCTGACAGATGATGTAATCAACGGCGCCGAGAGACGATCGACACTATATAGTGCTCTGCTCCCTACCCCCTACATAGGGAGCAGGGAGTAGTGGTTTAAGTGGCGATTTCGGACACAGCCATTAACTCTGTTTTTCAAGTTCAAATCCTCCGGATTTGGTGGAGGTGGACTGACCTCCCGGTGTACTGACGCCTTTCCGCGGTTAAAACGACATCCCTTCTTATGTTCATTCCAACCCGATCTCACGGGAATTCGTACGAATTTTACGAGGTGGCTAATTCGTAACAATTCGTACGACCTCACTCGTACGAATTAGTACGTTTTTGCTAAATCGTACATATTTTACGAATTAGCCAATTCGTATGAATTCGTACGAATGACCTACCCCTGACCCCGGCCCTAAACATAACCGTCACGTTGGTTTAGACAAATCGTACAAATTCGTACGAGTGAGGTAGTATGAATTAGCCACTTTTGAATCACTCGTACGAATTCATACGAATTGGTCATGAGATAGCGTAGTGTTTATTTGATGCTATAAATGAACTAGATGGAAGAGATGATCAGATCACAAGCAGCTTTACCTGATGCTCTACAGCGATCTGTCACAACACATTAAAGAGCCACAAAACGGTATTTATTGTTTAAATTTCTTTTTAAAAAATGACCAAATTTTAAAGATGAGGCTTTGTTTAATATGTTTAATATCAAAAGTAACCTGGTCTGTCCTGTCTGTCAGCATGTTACCAGTCTCCTCTCTGCTCCACGATGTTTTTTTTTCACTGTGTGAGAACATGGTGTGCATGTGGGAGCGGCGTAGCTTGTCGGACATAGCAACAGTAACTAAGGGAGGCGGGTCTTTGCGAAGGGTCAATTATGTACACACAAGATGCTTTTTTTTAACCTGTTAACCTGTGGGAGGACATAGGCACCCTGTAGCATTCTTTGTTTACATCGGCTAACAGGTTAAAATTATATATATATATGTATGCAACTCACTAGGTTTTTCAACCGAGTTTGCCACATCCTCTGAATTTCAACAGGATAACTTTAGAAATAATCTTTCTTTTTTTTTTTCAGCGAATCAATAAATCTCACCAACTCTTGTGTCAGTAGCAGTTGAAGAGACCTGAAAATGTATTTTTATTTCTCACCTTGGCCTTCTCAGTGTTATGGAGCATTGCCCAGACTTGCTAGGTGTAACCCCCACAAACACAACCCTAGGTGCAAGGTGTGTGAAGTCTTGCCATAACAGCAGAGCCACAGGCAGTACACAAACTCCAGACTGAAAGTGACATGCACAAGTAACATGGCTTGTTTATTTGTATTGGGGTTTTACTAGAGCTAAAACCTTATAAGGCGTAAGCCTTAGTACTTGTTTTTTTTTTTTTTTAAAGACAACTTTCCCTATAGTATTTTTGTCTTAAAGTCCCCCTGTGGTGAAAATCAAGTTTAAATGTCTATGTAGTGTTTTTAATATGATTTATGACAAACCATGTGCAAAATCATAAGTCAACACCATTGCTAAGTAGCCTATTTTGCTGTGATCTAAAGACAGACTCATTGTTAGAAAGCTGTCTGACTCCGAACGGGAACATGTTTTTTGTAACATTAGCAACACATTATTAGCTGTTTGATAACATTGGTCAAGCAAAAGGCTAATCACATTAATAACCGTTGTGTGTCCGACGTTGTAAAGAGCAATACCATTGTACAGCATCCTAAGTAAGTGGGCCGTGCAAATTTTTGAGCTAGTGAGAGCATTTTATTAGCATATTCATGGAACCGCGTATAATAAATAAATCAAGGATGTAGAGTTCCATTTAAGTTTTTTTTTTTTTTTTTCATTTTCACAGGAAAAAAGTTTAATTATATAATTTTGGTGATCAAAGGTGAGTTTTAAGGGATAAAATGATTGACTACAGGGGGGACTTAAAATGTAAATGTACATTAATGTCAGATTGATTATGTTTTGCAATCTTCTGCATTTCTTTGAATTAATGAAGTCTCTACTCATTGTGTACAATGGCTCATGTGGTGACAGAACGTGTAGGTAGAAGTAAACACACCCCATGAACAGAACCACACATCTTTGTGTTTGACATTTTGGATCCTAGAGAGAAATGTTTCTTCTTGGCTCAAAGTAAATCTGAGAGTTCGATTTTAAACATTTCAATGTAACTCTTGGTGTTCCCAGTCAAATCTCAAATCTCTGAGGGATACAGAACACCATAATTGATGGTCCTTCTCGAAGTAGGCTATAGAAAATGTATGACTCCTCCTTTGGGCCAATCATTTATTTTGTTTACAATTGTATAAGCATCTTTGGGAGACAAGCAGGAATATATTTTTTTCAACAAGAATGTTAAACTTACCATGCATCATATCAGCTAATTTTGTCTCTAAAGTCACTGAAGTTAATGGGCTACATCTCAAAAAACATCAAGATCACATTTTGCCCTTTGAAAATAAATATGTACTTTAAATATTTATTTATTGCATTAACCACTTAACTGTCACCGTCCCACAGGTGGGACGTTTGCCACTATATTTTTAAAACAATAATATCTTAGTAAATACCTTAAATAATATTGACAAACTATATATCATTTGAAAGCTTACAATCTCTAGTTTCCATATTTGGTGACTGATTTTCAAAATATATTACAGAGGAGCCATAATTTATCAATATAAAACAAGAATATTTATACTCATAAGGCGTGTTCAGACCTTTATTTTAAAATAGCAGTAAACATGAAAAATCATGAAAAAATGGTAGATACCTCAGTTTGTTTTCATGCCAAAAGTTAAAAAAAAAAAGAATCCATTCAATGATTTTGGAAAAAAAAGGTCTGAAAAGTTTGAAATATCAAGAAAAAAATAATAAATTCACCATTTGTGACGTGGCAGCTAGCTATGACTTGCATGCGTGTTCTTTGTATGTGTTTCTTAGAGGTT